CCACTCCCACCTGGAGCTGTTGCACACTCCAACCCCATCTCCGACCCAGAACCTGCCGGCCCTATCTGCAGTTTATGCCAGCACTTACCCAGAATAGTGGAAGCAGCCCTGGGCAGGTGCCAGTGTCAGCTACAGATGCAACTGGCAGGTTCCAAGGGGGCATCAGGGCATCTACCCCAGTCCACAGCTGACACCACCATGTCAGCGCTGGATAGAAACAGTCCTGCCTGCCTGCCTAGTACCATGTGGCAGCCAGATCCCATGAGCTGGCAGGCACCTGCCTGTGGGCCAGATACAATCATTTGGCAGGTCGGACCCTGCCCACAGACTGTATTTTACCCACTCCAGTTTTAATATATTCTCATGGCTTGAGGAGCTGGTGCTTTACTACCAGATCTCAACTCCTGGGGTACATCTTTCTTATGCAGGACTGAAGAGGGTGCTGCATCCCCTAGAGATTAAACTATACACAGGACAGAGTGGAATATAATGAAGGATGCCCAGTAACAACCCCCTCTCCCTACCAATTCACTACAGAATTTTACCTGGGTGCCTCTTTGCAATTATTTTACAAAATGACATATATACAGTATATGACAGAGAAAGCAAGCTGAAGGGCTTTTCTTCACATCGCTACTAATCTCAGACACATAGCAAAGTGAAAAGAGGGGGCTTAGTTTGCACTTTTCACTCTTTCTTTCAAGCTAATTTGGAGTTTGAAGTATGTTATCCAAGTGCCATGTTGGTCAACCCCCTGCTAATTCAAGGATTTAAAATGGTAGATATAGTACCTGTTCCAGTAGCAGAAACTCATTTTAGAGAGTGTTTACTTACTTAACACATGAACTACATTTGTAGTTGAACTGCACAACCCATTGACATGTGGTAAACTTAAAGGTACCAAGATCATAATGGTTATTTTTACTCCTGTATGACATATTAATGTTTTTCTGCTCTACTGTCATTGGTTTCAAGTCAGTCTTAAAGGTAGATTGGCTATAATATACGTGTGTGTGTGTCTGTAATTATATATGTATGTATATAAAACTGTGCCAAGGCACCTTCCAGGCCCAATACTAGTATGGCCCTGCCCTTGTCTCTGGGCAAACCAGCCGCCTTGCTTTCCTGCCATGCCTTGTTGATAAATGGTTATGAAGTTAAATAGGCGGGAGGCTGCCCTTTGTGTGCCCAAATGACCATGGGTGATATGTACATGCTCCTACCATCCCTACACGTGTGCTATGCCTTGCTGAGGTCTCACAGTATGCTCCATCTCCTGTTCTAAGCCAGATTAAACTGAACACATAGTTGTGTCTCTTCCATGCTGCCTTCTCAGGCCATACACACACCACCCCTCTCTCACCAGGGCCTCTTGGACTCCACTGGCTCTCACCCGGTCTCTCGCACACTTGCCTATCCAAGCCACACTCACTCCGCCCTACTCAAGGAGATCCTCAGGCTTTTCTTTTCACCTCTCGGTTAGCCCTGGCACAATCTTTTGGGCCTCTTTTGTGACCCTGACCCAAACAGGACTGAGCGATTGCTCAACTACAGGCCTACTTTGCCCCTGGCCCCTCACCGGACCCCCACTCTCTCAGGTCACAACTCCACCCCTTACACTAGGGCCTGGGGTCTTCCACCCCTGAGAACTTAACCACTTCTCCCTGAGCTTAACTGGCCCACAACTCTGCCCTACAACTCTCAGGGCCTGGGGTGTTACACCCCCTTGGGCTCAGGTGCTGCTCAATATGCCTGGCCCCCACTCCAGGGTCCAACAACCCAAAGGACTCAGGTGCAGCTACTCTACATACCTGCCCCCCCCCCAACTCTCCCAGTAACCCACCCAAAGGTGGGAGGAGGGGTTTAGATGCCCCAACCCACCTTACACTGGGGAGGTTCTCAGTCTTGGTATTTGCAAGGCCCTGCTCCACCACAGGCAGGACCAGCAGACCTCCCTATCCCAGCAGGGTGCAGTTTTACATCATGCCCAGGACAAATAAGGCCTCCTCCTTCCTCATACCCTTACCCTTACCCTTACCTCCAAGCTGTTCCTGGAGCCAAAGCTTAGCAGGGTGATGTTTCCTCCCTGCTGGCTGATCTCACACTGCTCTGCTCTTATAACAGAGCTATCCAAAATGGCTTTTCTCCAAAATGGCCACTCTCATCAACCACCTGGCAGCTTCGTGCTCCAGCCCTTAAAGTGACAGACACCCCAAAAGGCTGTTTCGTCACAAAAACATATTCAACCTAACCACTTTAGACAAATGTTAAACATATAAGATAAATATAGTAAAAGTCATGTTAACTCTAATTCTTCTTGTTATTCTTTATTCTTCCCTGTATATACACATGTAAATCTTACAGCAAGACTTCACTTTGGTTTATCTAAAAAAATTCTTTTCTAATGCATTTGAGTTATATGATCCTTCCCCTAGTTAGGTATTCTGAATTCTTTAGGAGGATGAAATAGTCTCCATGTTATAGGGAAGGTTTATTGGATGCAAATAAGCATATTTTTGTAAATATGCTTTAAAATTAGACCTCATGATCCTGCCACAAATGGAAGGAAAGTTGTTGTTTTACAGATACAAATTTCTTGTTCCCATGAACTCTTAATAAAAACCAGACATATAACCAAGTTTTATACAGTGGAACAGTAGTTTGAAACAAAAATGGAGTAAGTTCAATTCATCAGTCATACAAATACTTAAATTTCGATGTGTTTTCTGTACATGTGCTGAAAACAGTGAAAGTGAAATTACTTTTCTCATTATACATGCTGTAAAGGAATGTTATTACCTGTAAGTTTAGCAAATCAAGAGGAACTTTCTCTGTACTTCGTTATCTTGTAGGCCTATATTCTTGCACATTAAAGGACTGGAAAGTTCATTTTCCAAAACTATTATATTATTTGGTGCTAGGTGACAAAAGTGACAGGGCGAAGGGGCTAGGATTTTTTTTTTTTAAGTTACAAGCTTTTTTCCATGACAGCAAGAAAAACTCTTTATAGCAAAAAGAGGTCAGAGGGTTTTCTCTTCTAAAAGAAATAACCCATATAAACTTATGATGGAATTCCTAAAACAGTAGTCAGAAAAAAGATTCTGACAGTCAGCATGTTGCCACTTGCCCTGTGCAGATATATATCACCATGGGCCAAATTCTGAAAAGGTAGTAGGATAGGCAGATGCATCAAAGTTCTTAGGAACTGTTTGTCACCTCGAGGAAATGTAAAGCTTTTAGAAAATTATGGTATCCAGCATTCTCATTCTTGCTATCTGCTAGAACTTGCTGATTTAAGATTATGGAACAGAAAATAAAATTTATCTTAAGAGATCTAGATGTATGAATCAAAAAATGCTCTTATTTCAACAGCAGGCGTTAATGAGTTCTAAATATTTTGAGTCCAATAAGCCAGGAGTTTTTAAAACCATGGTGAAACCATAGGTAGAAGGACAAAATATTATTTGGGGGGGCTGACTGCATGCACATGTGCACCCCTACCCCTCGCCCAGCAGGTAAGTCTGTGGGGGAAGGGCCGGGGGGAGAAGGAAGGGCTGTGTGAAGGTGAAATAGGATCTAGCCCCACATATCTATCAACTTGTCGGGGGGGGGGGGAAACCCCGCTGAAGAG